TGTGTGTTCGTGTCAGACTTTTTTTCCCCTGATTATCAAGGCAAAATGTTTGAACACATCTTCCTCCCTCTCCCCTCCACATCCCAGTCTAACCGATCTTCAGAAGAAACTGGCTCGTTTTCCAAACAATCCAAGGACATCAGTCATATTCCAATTATCAAAAATTAAATCCCACCTAGTCTAATTAAAACGATAGGCAGGACTATCAAAAAGGTGCGTACATACTGATAGGATCACATTCAATTCAGATTATTCAAATTACTGACCAGGGAATACAACATACTTGGACTATAACATTTATCAAAAAAAAAGAAAGTATGGAACTACAGGAACAGTAGACAGACTCACAAGCAAGTGCAAAAATTAGCTCTTTTGAAACACAGCTATACTTCCAGTGGCTATGTTCTCAACACCTTACACCATTCAGAATCTTGAAGAAATAAATACAAGTGTGAACATGTTAAGCACCTACGTGGCTATTGACAGATTAAGGTCTGAATTCAGGCCAGTCAAAACAGCACAACTGGTGGGAAACAATCAGGTAAATAACACCAGCAAGAAAGCACAAGCACTACTGGGAAAGCAGACAACATTTCATGTAGACAAGGACACCATAAGGACTGACTACAGAAAAAAAGATGACAAAAAAAACCAACATGGAAAAATAGCCAAAAATAAGATAAAAGAACAAAGAAGCACAAAGCAAGCCAGCATCAAGTAAAAATAAGATTATACACAATGGTGAATTTGCTGTTGAGAGACAATTACGGGTGCAGTTGAAAGAGCGTGATCATGCTGGGATGAAGAAAAATTAAGACAAAATTATTGCTAGCAAAACAAGAGCTACAGGAATCAAAATGAAAACAACAGCTGCTAGATAAGGGTTTCAAGACTATACATAGGCAAGAATTCTGAGACTAAGAAAAGTCTCAATTTTTCTCATTTCTAAGAAAGAAATGGGGAAAAAAAAAAAAAAGTACTATGTGTGAAAGAGTTCAGCAATAGCAGAATTGTAAATGCTAGTGGAGAAGGTTTAAGAAAAAACCTGAAACAGACAGGCCACGGAAGGAAAAATTTCTTTTCAAAGTGCACTAAATAAGATACAAGATAGACCAAAAACTACTAGACTGGATTAAGTTTTATAAGAAAAAGAGAAACAGACAGGAAACAAATGCAGCAAACATTAATGAAACAGTAGAAATACATAAGGGCAGAGAAAGAAGAGGAAGAGCGTGAAAAAAGTTTGGTTTGGCTTTTCTTTCCTTCTAATTTTAAGACATATGCGAGTACCATGTTATGAAAATGCAGAAGAAAAAACCCAAAAGAGGTTTGTTAATCAGTAAGACATAAGAAATACCCCTTTGACTTTGCTAAGTGATGACAATTTGAATGGGTTCAGTGAAGTGGAAAAAGAAAATCTAGTTTAGAAGATTAAGAAACAGATTGTACAGGTAAACAGTGTATCAGTACTCAAAGAGAAGGCAACGGTTAGAAAGAATTTTCTAGGCAAACACCCTAAGATAAGAGGGCAATTGGCCTATTTCAGAGCTAAATGTAGCAAAGTCATTGGAGGAAAAGTATATACAGGATAAGAACGCAGAGTATGACTGAAAATAAACGGTATGGAGGACAGGTTGTAGATGAAAAAGGTAGATAAGGGAAGTTTCAGAACCATGAGAGTATGATTCATAATTGTAAGAAAAAAGTTATGACAAATCTAGCAGGTACTGACACTATACAAGTAATAGCACAGAACAATCAAACATTTTTCATTTATGACTATTAGTTTAACTAGAACAAAATAAATAAGGTATGCCTTGATAGCATGCTGTCCTACATAATTCTCAGTTTGCAGGAGTGGAGCATCACCACGTGCAAGTTTATAGCTTTAAGCTAGTATGCCCTATGTACTCTTATGTGAGGAATGAAGAAACAATATTTAAACACAAAACAGGATTAAGAACTTGCCTCTGTAATATCTGATCATTGTGCAAGGACACGCATTGTCCATCTGCAACTTATGCTATACACTTTCCTGCTCCTAAACACACTCCCTCTATTCCAGCAGTCGCATCTGTTCGTGCTTTGGTTCCTCTTCAGACCCCCCCTGAGAACTGTATGTCTGGTACTTTACAGCAACTAGGTGAGGAATGAACAAAGACATTACATTGAAACTATAACTAAGAATCTTTTGAAGCATCTCCATAAAGTCCAAAGTTGTGGGGGTTTTTTTGTTGTTTTTGTTTGTTTGTTTGTTTGTTTGTTTTGTTTTTTTTCTGAGGGCTTCTATTAAGCACTCCAACAAACAATATCCCTAACATAGTGTTCCCAAAATTCAACTTTAAACTTGTAAAAAAGTTTTTGCTCCTTTCCTGACGTTTAGACCATTTTTAACAGTGTCAAATATTTGCATTACTTATCTCTCTCTCCTTGCAGACATGTCTCTTTAGTTTCAGTTCTGCTGCTGCTACTTTTAATTACCCTTCTGCAAAACCTGAACAAGCTACACCAAACATCAGCATTTGAAGCAGGAAGCACAGCTCACCATCAACAGTACAGCAAGACTGGCAATACAGAAAGCACTATGAACAAGTACTATGTTTACCTAACAGGCATTTCCTAATTAAACTGCTTTCCAACACATTGATTAATTTTCCCTGAAAGAAATAAAGGTAAAGTTATTTTTCTGAAAACTTCTGAGGATGCTGTAATTATTTTTACAAAGGCTAAAATCCAGACTCCTTAAGATCTGCTGTAAATTCTAATCAACATTTTTGATGCTGTAAGTGAAGCCTGCAATAGAGTTAGGTGGGTAATTCAAACTCCCAAGCAAATGAGGAAGGATACCCAAAACTTTTTTTTTGTTTCAGATATGTGCAAGACCGAAATGTGATTCAAAAGCACTATTAAAAAAAAAATAAGGAAGCTTCCAAGAGACCACTCAAAGCAGAAGAAAAGCTATAAGTTATTCCAAGTAAAAAATATATTTCTCCTTTTTCATTGAAGTGCAACAGTAAATAGACAGTGCTAACAACAGAACTATCACAAGAACAAACTATACAGTACCCTGAGGCTGAGAGTCAGGAATTGGTCAAGAAAACAGCGTTTCAGCAGGCTACAGAACACCAAGGGAAAGGAAAGCTTTAACACTGTTGAATCTCAAAGGCATACCCCAGTAGCTTCAAAGCTTTCCACTGGAAAAAACAGGCAGCTGTATGCATGGCAGTACACAGAACAACAGTTTACAATTTTTACATAAAAAATTATTAATATATTAATATTAGAGTATTTAATATGCTTGCACCAGTCACCACATCTAAGGGGAAAAAAAAAGGTCACAGCAGGACATATTGCTGTCAGATAGAGGGTTGAGGGAAGGTACTGCCACTTGTGCACTGGCTGCAAATCTACTTACAAAAGATGAATCCACCACACCTAAGGTTGTTCCCTGTTCAGTTTGCTGCCTGCAAACGTACCCTCATTGAGTAGTCATTTATTGGTAGCATCAGCTGCAGGAGAGCATAAACTGAATCAAAGCCAGACAAAAGAGGAAAACTGATCATGAAATCATCATGTTTTACAGTAGATTAAGCTCAGCATATAAGAAGTCTCTTAAGTTCTAACAAGAACTTGAGCAAAACTTTTAGCTGAGCCTTCCCGAAGAATAGAAAATAAAAAGTAAGCGTGATGTATTTGCTTTCATCTTTCTTTAAGAGAGAAGACAGGAAATATGCAGATGCAAAGAGGAGCTGACACACAAAGAAAAAGCGGTCCCTAAAATGGCTGCAAAAAAGTGCACCTTACAGGCATGGTAAAAAGAAAAAAAAACAAACAACAAAAAAAAAAAAACCACAAACACATACCACCACCCCCTACTTGACCCAAATAACTTGTCTCTTCAGGAGGGAACTAACATGCTGAACTACATTTTGATAGCTCATAAAGTTATTATGAAATCAGCTTGCCTGCCAACTAGTTTGTAAAAACATGGAAGATGCAATTAAGTTATGAGATGGAGAAAAAAAGATACACAAACATATGCAAATGACAATTCATATAACGTTTGCATTTACATTCTTTCAAGCTTTTAAGTGAAAAAGAATCAATAAAAATAATCAACCATAAATACCAATCACAACGTCAGACAAGGAGAAAGCAATTCCTTACAAAATAATCTACCTTGAACTCCCTCCCACTCACCACCTCTGGCCTTGAGGTAAAAGAGTAATTATTTCTTCATTATTTTATGAAACAATGTTAACTAGTTTGCAGGTTGCTTAGTAGAATCTGAAGTACCTAACCTAAAGATAAAAGCTGGGTGCAAAATCAGCAAGATCAATGTTATTTCCTTTCTAGACAGTCAGAACTTGCAACAACTTAACCAAGACATTTAAAAAATATGCTAAGATTTTTTTTCTCAGTTGACCCTCTCTGAATAGAAATTATGCTGATAATAGTAGTCTCATAAAAGAGTAACACATGTACTCCTTATATGGAAATACAATACAAGGGTTTGGTGGGGTTTTTAATTATTAACTAGAAACAAAAAGAAAAGCTAGTACCATGCAAGTCTGCAGGCCTGCAGTGCGTTTCTGTAGCCACAATTGGTCCTTTCATTACAGCTGGCTACACAGTCAGAATACTCCTTAACAGCAGTAAGCACAAACTAGCAAAATTCCAAGATATTAGTGGCAATCACTGAAAGGAAAAACAATTTTCCATATTGTGAAAACTAACTCTTTTTAGAAAAATTACTGCTACATCTTCTTTTACTAGTTTTCACACATAAGAAAGTAACAGGCGGGTTTACGCCTTTTAAATTAAAAGCTCCTATCTTGGAAGTTAGCAAAATTTCCTTGTGCATAATTGCAGATATCTAACATGGATCTTTGTGACTGTACCAAATTTCCTGGCATATTCCATTCACACACTGTTATTCCTAGCACTCCGTTACAAACCAGCTGTTGCCACCAGCAGGATAAGGTAGTGTTACACCATACCTTCTGGTAAACTATCGAGCACACGAGGTCTTTGACAGCAGAGAGGGACAGGTCCTGAGCTTCAATGGTGACAGTCTCCCGCGTGAGACCGATCTGCAGAAGGAAGGAGACCCCGTGCATAGAGCCCCGGGAGTTGGTGAGGCTCTGGGTGCTGAAACTGCCATTAGAGAGTCGGCTGGAGAGCCCCGACTGGGGACTTGAAGACAAAGTTGGGGTCTGTGGTGCAGCAGCATGACAGGTAGGTGGGGAAAACTTCTGTAAGGATGGGGGAGAAGAGTCGTTTGCTGACATCTGACTTGCTTGATTCTGTCGAGATCTCCCCGGTAGTCAAATTCTAAGAAAAATACGTTGTCAGTTCTTGGTTTAAAATGAAAACTAGGATAATGTAACTTTCCCTTTCTTAGTTCAGTAAAACACCCCTGACCACTAAAACTTAATTTTCCCTTTCATTCTGTGCAAGCCAGATAGTAAAATGATTTCAGCTGTAAATTACTTTAAATTAAAGGTTCTCTTTCTGCAGTTGCAATCAGCTGATCAAAAGCAGATTGTCTGTCCTTTAGCACCACGTCTGGGCAACAGAGGCTTACATAAAGGCCTCGCAGAAACACATCAGCTCTGCTGGTTTATACTGGTCCTTCATTTTCATGTATTGAAAAAAGCTGGAAACACAGATGGAAATAAACGTTGGTAATTCATTAAAAGTATCCTTGTTCACTTATTTCCACAGACCATATCTTAAATGCAGACTCATCTTCATGTAGACGGCCTTTTATAATTAAAAAAAAAAAGTGTATCCTTGAGCAAAAACAGAAGTCCACGTATGTCATGAATTTATTCCTCCTTCAGAAAGTCTTCTCTGAATTCACAGGACACGGTTAACTTGGGGATCAGTGAAGGCATTTGATTTCATTTTTATAAAATATTTTAGCTCATGAAATGCAGGAGCAGAATGTCTGAAGACACAATCACATTAAATGTAATCCCTGGCTTCACCCAGATAATCTCCAGCATTTTAAAACGTTGTATTCTGCCTGTAGGGGAAAAGATAAAGTTGTTACTTCACATGAAATGCATAAAATTGAACAGCGAAGTCATAACCACTCTACTTTGAAGCATCAGGATCAGCAATTCCTTACACCCAAATATGTTATATTAGTAACATTTTGTACTTATAATTTGAACTGTATTCCCACTGTATGATACTCAAGACAAATCTGAACTAACACTGCCCAGTACATTACCAGATGTTTTAATTAACAGTAATTTAGCAAAGCAAAGCACTTCACAGTTAAGAGAGAGGGGAAAAAAAAAAAAAAAAAAAAGAAAAAGAAAAATGAGTGGACAGCAGAGGACAGCTCTGCTCTGTAGGTGTATACTGAGAGGCTGGTGGGTAGGGAAGGAAATTTATTAAATGCATTGAAATGTCAAAAAAAAAGTCAAAACTCAAAAACCTCTATGTAGCATATACTCAGGATACCATTTTAATAGTTTACTCATGACGACTAAAGAACATCTTTCAACAAACTGACTGCAGGAAGCACACAATTGAGCATTGGTTCATTTCAGGAAAAAAAAAAGCATTTAATGCTCACATGTCCGATTAAAAAGTAAGTCTGCTACAACTTTTTAAAGAAATCATTTCACAAGCAGAGGATCAAAACACTTGTCACAAGATGCTGTGTTACCTGATTTGGTATTTCAAGTATTTCATGAGCAACTGAAATGCTCACAAAGAATCATTTTTAGATTGCACATGCAACTTGAGCCACAGAAGAAGTGATCTGCCAATGCAAAAGTGCAGAAGTTCAAGCACATAGATACTACATGTCACTCACAGCTTTAAAGGAGCACAAATCAATAGGCTCATGCATTTTTTCCTTTCTTGATGTGAAAAAAAAATCTCAAGAGTATTACTAAGATGAAATGAAATTAAAGTTTAGAAAACAAACGACACAGTTTATCACACATGATATAAACCACCCTTAGCAGAAATAAGGCTGATAACTGGTAAAACAATCAATTTAATAAATTATACATTCATGCTATTTACCCGTGTAATAACTCAAAACTCCACTGCCACTGCACTCAGAAAAGCAGATAAGGAAAGAAACTAGGGGAAAAAAACAAACAAACAAAAAAAAACCCACACAACTCTTGGTTCTGTGATAAAAATTCCTGACGGGGCCTCCAGAAGAGAGAACAAATGGATACCTTCTGGATTTTCAGCACAGGTATGCACACACTGTTGTCTTCAGATACTCAACAGTTGCTGGACACTTACCAAAGACACCTGAAAACACAATTTCAGCCTTAAAGAACACACTATAAGATGACCCAGATGAAGGTTACGAACAGGAAGAATCCAGGCAGCAACAGAAACATTTAAGCACCTTTTTCAAGGGCGCAGTTTCACGGTGCCTTCAATTTTGTTTGAAGATAACTTATTTCTGTTTTCTACACACTGTTTTTCTCTCCCTTACTTCACACAGATACCAGAGACAGCAAATACCAAAGCTTAGGGGTAGATTGGAATTAAAAAATAACACCTAACCAACAGGACAGAAAAATGGAAAAGCCACCTGACATTAAAAAGTTAACAGATCTACTAAGCAAGTTTAGTTGAGACAGTGAAAACATGCTGCAAAAGCTCACCTATAGCTGCCTCATTAGAATGTCAATTATATTTACCAAAAGCACGATGCATCTACATCATTTACAAAGCCTTTTCATACCAAGTGTATTTGCATGTAAGCCTTTAATGAAGTTTATTTTTGCTACACGATAGGAAAGAATAGATCTTTCTAAGAAAGGAAAACCATAGAAACTGCTCACTTTGTAGTCCGGATAAACTCATTCTGAACATCAAACAAAGTAAGTATATATTGAAATGTACATTCCACCCTACGATTTCGTATTTGTATACATATACACACACACACATATATATAAGAAAAAACCTACAGTTCAAAAAGCAGAGAGGCACGAGGTCTACGAATGGCTCCCACCTGCTCCCCTCCCTGCCCCACCGCTCGCAGCCTACTTTCCAGCCTGCTCTCGCCGCGGCAGCGCTGAGCCCCCCTCCTTTTGGTGGGGCTGCCCCCAAACCAAGCGGCTGCTCCCACACCCGGCACCGCATTCGCCCTCCCCTCCAGCTGCCGGACAGGACG